AGCCGTCAGCCAATCCACTTTGAACTGGAGCCAGTGTTCAGGGCCCTGATGGTGTTCGGCGACACCGCAAATGTCGACCTCTTGGCTGAGAATGCGCTGCTTTGCTTTGAGGGACCAGGAAGTGATGTTCCCAAAGAAGATTTTGAGCGGCTTACTTGCGCTCACCGTGGCGCCGGGTGAGGGTCTTGGCCCGCAGATGGTTCGGGTAACAGCGGTCTAGGACATGTCCCTACCCCATCTGAAGGTTTGGGACCCCCACCCGTCGCAACAGAGCTCTTTTCCTGCTTGAAGACACCCAAGGCTGGTGGTTCAGCCCTGCTACCCTTGCAGCCAAAGACTGTCCGAACCTTCCATGTAGCGGTCTGGGTCAGACGGTGCCGGCTGTCCGTCCACAGGCCCTTGTCGTCTTCGTTTTTCCCGAAAGCATTGCGAAGGGTTCTTCCGGAAAATCCTTTGAACACTGACACTTCGACACTTACACTTACACATTGACACTTTCACCACACCGAACGCTGTAAGTGGAAGAGCGAACGCAGTGAAGTGCAAAGTATGCAATGCAAGTGTGAAACTATGCAAGTGTAAGTATGCAAGTGATGAGTATGCAAGGATGCAACGAGTATGCGAGCACGCAATGAGCAGGCAAGTGTGAGTATGGAAAATGCACGGGAGATGTCCTAATGAAAAAACATTTCCCCACTTTATAAATTCTCTCTTAAAGGCGGATGGTGGGACGAACAGCGTCAACCGAAAGTGTAACCCTCTGCGGAGATCGTGCGCGTCGAGTGCGCGAAATGCAGGCGAGAGTGCGATTTGCCGGCTGCGCGCGCAACCCTCTGCGGAGATCGTGCGTGTCGAGCGCGCGAAATGCAGGCGAGAGTGCGATTTGTCCGGTCCGCGCGCAACCCTCTGCGGAGATCGTGTGTGTCGAGTGCGCGAAATGCAGGCGAGAGTGCGATTTGTCCGGTCCGCGCGCAACCCTCTGCGGAGATCGTGCGTGTCGAGTGCGCGAAATACAGGCGAGAGTGCGATGTGCCGGGTGCCCGCGCGACCCTCTGCGGAGAGCGTGCGTGTCGTGTGCGCGAAATGCAGGCGAGAGTGCGATTTGGCGGCTGCCCGCGCAACCCTCTGCGGAGATCGTGCGTGTCGAGTGCGCGAAATGCAGGCGAGGGGGATTTTCCGGCTGCCCGCGCAACCCTCTGCGGAGATCGTGCGTGTCGAGTGCGCGAAAGGCGGGCGAGAGGCGTGGAGTATCTGGGGAGCTGGGAGATGAGCACTGGCGACTTTGTAGTACAACTGTAGTACGCGGAGTAGCTGGGGAGCTGGAAGCTCAGAACTGGTGACTTTGCAGTACAACTTTAGTACGCGGAGCAATCTGTGGAGCTGGAAGCTGAGAACAGAGGGATTTGCCTGCCCGCGCAACCCTCTGCGGAGATCGTGCGTGTCGAGTGCGCGAGACGCGGGCAAGAGGCGTGGAGTATCTGGGGAGCTGGGAGATGAGCACTGGCGACTCTGTAGTACAACTGTCGTGCGCGGAGTAGCTGGGGAGCTGGAAGCTCAGAACTGGTGACTTTGTAGTACAACTTTAGTACGCGGAGCAATCTGTGGAGCTGGAAGCTGAGAACTGGCGACTGCGTAGTACAACTTTAGTACGCGGAGTAGCTGTGGAGCTGGAAGATGAGAAGTGGCGACTTGGTAATACAACTTTAGTACGCAGAGTAGCTGGGGAGTGGGGAGATGAGAACTGATGAGTGGGTAGTAGCTGAGAACTCGCGACTTTGTAGTACAACTTTAGTACGAGGAGTAGCTGGGGAGCTGGAAGATGAGAACTGGCGACTTGGTAGTACAAGTGTAGTACGCAGAGCAGCCGGGGAGTGGGAAGATGAGAACTGGCGACTTGGCAGTGCAACTTTAGTACGCAGAGTAGCTGGGGAGTGGGAAGATGAGAACTGGTGAGTGGACAGTAGCTGCGAAGTGGCGACTTTGCAGCACGAGTGTAGTGCGCGGAGTAGCGGGGGGAGCTGGAAGATGAGAAGTGGCGACTTGGTAGTACAACTTTAGTATGCAGAGTAGCTGGGGAGTGGGAAGATGAGAACTGGTGAGTGGGTAGT